GCTTGTTGTCATCTTGCTTACACATTTATCTTGTGCGAACATTTTGTTGTCATATTTATTTATCAACTGGCAACAGAATGCGGGAAACTTCTTTGGCGTCATCTCAAAACGGCGTAACAAAATAATTTCATTCTCCCGAAATTTATGTCAGCTTCCCGAAATTTATGTCAGCTTAGATATGTACTGCGCAAATAACCAAGTGTGAGAAATCTCCATGTAATCTCGGTATTTTCTTCACGAAAATTGAAGGTGAATACCTCAGCTTAAAGTTGTCCTCAGACTTTTGTTTATTTCAATAAAAAAGCAATTTATAAAACCAGGTTTAACTGATCTGCGACCGAAATTTCCCGTTTTCCACCACTTGTCTACCTGAGTTATGCAAATATCTATGCGGTACGCGGAAAGAGCGTCTGTCATATGGGTCATAAAAGACACTTTTTATTGCTCATTTGACAATATGGCTGCACCCAAGGTTCGCCTCTTTTGATGCCAAATCTAAATAATTTGGCAATTTCGTGCTGATTTTATTACAAGCCACAAAAGGGCAGACATTAAAAGGTACCTAAAAAAAATAACAACCAGACAAGAACGACAATTCTTCAGAGGACTGGGCATGTTGATAAGGCTTGATTAAAAATTTCCCCTGGCATACATGGCGTATGAGTAATATCTTTCAGGTTCAGGACAAACAAAAAGTACATTAAGGTAATTTGTTTAACCAAGCTCAAGGTTTCTTAGAGGAAAATTGACTTTATTTTACGTTTTTAAAGAAGGCTTCTTCTTTAAAAATAATAAAAATAATCATTTGGGTAATTGTTCTAGAAGATTCTAATTAAATACTATAGATAAAAAATAAATAGTTTTAATAATTGTTACTTTTCCTATTATTTTTTGAACGTTCATAAAATAGATGAGAAGATTTAACATTTGCTAATTTCCAAGTGTCATGTAAAATGTTACAAGTCTTTAAAGTCATAAAAATTGTACTGGAACACGTGTATATTTTAAGGCTCAATTTTCAAACATAAAACATTATTTTTATTTTGTTAGTCCTGTCGTTTTATCCTTTAAATTTTTTAAGACCTAAAAGCACAAGCTATAATGATAAAAGTATTCAGAAATTATTTTTATCTCATTCAAGAAATCTTTTTTATGCGACTTCTCATTTTCAACATCGTTTTTATGTTTTGTCCAAAAGTTTCTTTCAAGCCAGTTGATTAACTTTTCTGCTGCACTTCACTTGAGTGCAAGACAAGATGGGAGAAAAACTGCGTGCGGTTGACTTAATTGCAGACATAAATTTATGCCGGTGGGCTGCTCAAATGCTTAAGGCTAGAGACATCAACTTTGTTGCAGAAGAAGGAAAAAGTAAATTTGTATTTTTAGCAGCAACTTTGAATTGAGAAATTTCTTAATTTTTCTGCAATCAAACTTTCCAAAGTTCAACAAATTGTATGCACAAAAGAAGCACACTCTTTTTCATGCTAGCTCTTTTTAATTATAAAATAACTTTTGGGCATGTTTTTTTTTGTTTTGGCCAGCAGCCTGGACACGAATAACAAGTGGCATTGTTGCTGCACTCTGTATCTCTGTATCTGGTCGCAATTGATGGCCATGCCGTGTAATTAGCCACAAATTGTTTAGGCCTAGTTGAACAGGACACATTCGAGGGGTGGGAAAGAGAGGGGGATGTAGAAAGGGCGAGGGAGACAGGGAATGACACGAGTGGAGCGGAAACCGAAATTTGTGTGCGCAAAACCAAAAGATGACACAATTTTGGTTGCACTAAAGTGCCTAGACTAGGGCATGTATTTGTGTGTAATAGAGATGAGCACGGGTATTGCACAGAGTTCGTGCGTGAAAGCAAACCTAAAACATAGGGCAAAAATGGCCTGCTTTTACTTAGCATGAAGAGGTTTTTTCACATCGGGTTGCGGAAAATGTAGTCACGAGTTCATCTCTAAAGTGCATGTAAAACTCTTTACCCCTATCCACTTTATCCTCCCTGCCCATTTCAACTTCCCTTCACCATCCCAATTAAGTAGGCTGCCCATGTCCTGGCAAATTAAAATAAAATTTCTTTCCCTTTTTTATTTGGTCGGCTGTTTCAGGCTTAGTCTGACCAACAAAATAATTTTTGCGTGTGTGCTTGGGACTTGCAACTTGTCGCCGCAAAATGAATTGAACTTTTATGGCTAATGACGTTGCACATTGCACGTTGCATGCGCCATGCTGCATGGTGCACGTGTCGTATACGCAATTACATAACATTTCCCGGGGACTTGTCCAACTTGTAATGCACAGCGCTAGTCTATCGATGGGAAAAAGTGGGGAAAAAAGGGTTGCTAAATTTGAGCGGATTTAGGAAAAGTCGAGAGTTTAGTATCTGTCGGTAAAGGACTAATGGAAAGTTTGTTATAAAGGTAAGCTAATAAAGGTTGACTAAAAAAATTATCTTTAAAAAAGCTGAACTGTTAACAATTTATATTTATATTGGTTGAAAAATACTTTTGCACACTCCTTAAATCGTTTTGATTGTATGATAAGAATTCCAAAGTTTTAATTGGGCAAACTGTAAGCATGTAAGTTGTGTGTGCAATGAAAATATTGAATTTGAAAATGTATTTTTCAATGCCTTCTAGTTTTCTGTTCTCCAATATTTGTTATAAAAACACTTTCAAAATGCGTAATTTTCTGGCAACCCAATTCATAAAATTCCGACCAGATTACCAACTATAATTTGCACATGACTTTATATATAAAACAATTTTTGGCTTTCCATGAAAATATTTCGGGGCTTCTGCACTTGTTGGAAAGTGGAGGGAAAATTGCTAATAAATTGCATTGAAATGTTGCGCATACGCAACGTGGCACAGGCGAAAGATAAACAGGCAGCTCCTGGCATCCTTCGTCCTGTCTTTCTCTCTGTGTGCGTAACAGGTGCAGTGCGAACAGAAGAAGATGGAGAAGAGATAGAAACTGAGTTTTGTTGCCGTCTCGACTGCTGTTGCTGTTGCTTTTGCTGTTGATGCTGCCACAACTCAATTTATTTCAACATGTACTTTTGCAACAATGAATTTCACTTTAGTTGCTAATGGATTTCACATAGAAGGCAGTCAGGCTGCAGTAGCAATAGCAGTAGCATTACTGAGAGAAAATTCTGCATTTATATTTGGTAATTATATTATATATTCATTAAGGTGACAAAATGTGTAACAGTTTCTTTTCTTTAGAAATATATTATTATTCATCTTCAATAGCAAAAAGCTTTACTACTAATGCTCCATGTGCCACACAAATAAATAGAAAATAATTAATAATTATTTAAAATTGATTAAGAAATTTCACAGTTTGCAATAACTTATTGTGTGATGTTTTGCACGTCTAGTTTTACAGGTAAAGGACTACCAACAAATTATTTTTCTTTATTTAATGCAGTTTAATTTTAAGCAACCTAAGTTAAAAAAAACATTAAGTGTACATATATATACATATACATATTTTAAAATATTTTCTACAGTGCATTTAGTGGGTGTGGAGGCATCAGTAGCAGTGCCCGTTTTTCTGCTCCTTGAGGGTTGAGTATAGTTTTTTCGGGTCAGCTGCTAAGGAACTTCGTCGAGTCCTTGTCGCCTGGCTCCTGTCCTTTGTGTCCTCGTGTCTGCGGTAATGCATTTTGTTTGCTCGGCTGCAGCAACGCACCCACAATGACAAATGAAAGTTGACGCGCTGCCTTATTGAGACAAACGAGAAGAGACTATAAAAAGGACTATAAGTGCTGCCTTTTGTGCTCGGGATATAATTATGCAAATGACCGAAAGGTTGCCACAAAATGAGCACTTTCCCTTTCCTGCAGCACAGTAATTAGAAATGCACCGAAGAAATAAAAATGGGCCAGAGGCAAAAGGAAGCTGCCTTACTTATTCACCAATTTCCAGTCTCCTTTTTTTTTATTGCCTGCAGAAGAACACTTAATTAATTTTCTTTTAAATTACATTTGCCTGGACACTTGTATCAACATTGTCCTGCCATTGTCCTGCCCTCGACTGATGCTCATTTCGAAGCTCCTAGACCGGCATTCAATTCATTGTTGACTCGATAGAGTAAACTCAGCTCCAGCTTCTGTTTCTGGTCTTATTTCGTTGCTGAAACAGCAACCATTTGCATAGTCCGTCGGCCAGGACATTGTTCTTACAACTAAGGACACTTTGAGTTGTCTCAGTTTCTGTTTCGGGCTCCGCCCATGGCCCATATTGTCAGCCATTTGCCCTAAAATGCAGTTAACAATTGCGTATTACATGGCTGGCAAAATTGTGTCCAAAAATTCGATTTGCCTCGGTGTGGGTTAAGTTGAGAGAGGATTGTAAATTCGACTGGAAACATAAATGTTTTCTGAATTGCTTGAATAGCTCCGAGGGACTTTAAATAATAGTCGCTTCTATTCGATTCAATTGAATTCATTAGAGAAAAATAACTCCAGAAATAAGCTATTCTCAAAATATATGCTTAAATTTGTTTTGTCAATAACAAAGCAATTAGATATTAATTAGCTTTTGCCTTGAAAGAAATTCAATCTTAATAAAAAAGGGAGTATAAAAAGAAGCCACTTATTGCCTTTAAATAAATTTATTATTTACTTAATTGATAACTCTTTACAATATAAAAATCATATATGAGCATGAGTAGTAAAACTTTCGTTGTTGTAAAATTGAGATTCTTAACATAAATTTTACATCTTTAAGTAATGGTTTTTATGGCTTTGGCTTTCTCGTATTTTTTAATAAATGCATTTAAGACGTGCTTTGAATAAATAATAGTCATTTAAATGAATAATTTTATAAACTCTAACAAATCTATTAAGCTTTAATTTGCAATAATTTGTAATCTAATTTACACAATAATTAAACGCTTATAGTCTACAATTGATTGAATTAAGGCCACACTCACTGATAAATTCTCTCCCCGGTTGCATTTAATTTTCAGCCATTTGGGAGACAATTTCAGTGCATTTCACTGCGGGATATATTCATCAGACCGCAGTTTCCGCTTGTTGCTCTCCAGGTGATTTCCCCTCCTTTCCGGTCTCTTACCAATGTTGTTGTTTGTGCGACAGGTTCCACTTTTGTTGTTGCTGCTGATGATGTTGTTGTTGGTACTGTTGGTTGTTGGGAACTCCTTAGTTACACATGACACATGTCAGGTGCAATCAAATACGGTTTCAAAGCTTAAACGCTTTTGGCGCAATGCGTGAGAATTTCAAACGGTTTTGGTTGCCACAGGAGCAGCCGATGCCTCACGTGTTCTAAATTGTAGGCTCAAAGCCCCTCTGTCCCCCTTACCATTTGAATATTTACTCCTGTGGCATTGCTTACTAATTGAATTTATGTAGAAAATTTTCAAAACCAAAGTTTGTTCGCCTTGAAGGGAATGAAAAGTGGCGAAAGGGACTGCGATAAAATGGGGTCTCCAAAGTCGTTGGTGAGGATGGAAAAGGGCCACACATGTGTGCGATTGAAATCAGTTTTGGCACTCGCTGTCTTTCGGCTTCCACCTCTCCCTTTTCTATTGAATTTCCAGCTTCATTTACCACTTATTCACAATTTCCTTCTTGCAAAGCACTTTTTAAAACAATTTTCTCGCTTAATTCCGAGACATGTAAAATTTTTTAATTGTCTACAAATTTGCCACATTGCAGAAGGAGGAAAATAAAAATACAATAAGCGCACAAATAGCTTGACCATGAAATACTCAGTATTTTATAATGGCCTTTATTTTGTGTACATGACGGACCTTTTTTTTAAATAATTAAAAAATTATTATATCTACTTTAGATAAACATTAAATTCACTGAAAAGAAATCATGGGTTTTCCAAGCACTTTAAAAAATATATATACCCCACAAAAACTCGTGGAAAAGCGAGAAAACCAGAGACATTGAAAAGTCTTCGCCAAAGTTGGTGTCACATGTTGCACTTAGCAGCCTGCCATAATTGCTTCTAATTGAAATGCGAAACCAGCAACGAAAATGAACAAAATTGAAGTCATTAAATTGAAGAAAAATCAACAATTTAGTTGGAGTTATTTGAGAGACCATGTGTGTTAATGTAAATTTATGTTCCAGCTTAGAAAGCAGAAAAAAAAAAACTAATTTGCACTTGGGAAATGTGAGAATTGTGTGAGGGAAAACCGCAATGGAGAGGTTTGTCCTCGGGTAAAATGGGATTTTTATTCAACACCAAGTTGACCACAAGATGCAGCTCACACACACAGTAACACCTAGAAGATTGCAGATTGTGGTTGCAACACTCAACTCCTAAATGGGTTTTATTGCCTTAAAGCTCATTACCGAGCCGAGGAAATTGCATCTAACGCTTAATTAATGCTCTGCTTACAACATGCGTCATCTGGCATCAAATGTGTTATTTTACAGCCGACATTGTTATGGTTCTTAGTTTCTACAACCTCCTCCATTTTGCCTGTTTACCCCATTGCCAATCGTAAACACAGTCTAGAGTCAACTTTTGTGGGTTTACATGTTTGCGAGTGCGTTAGATTAAACTCGACTGAACCTGGGAAAAGAGCAAAACAAATATGAAAGGGAAGCTGGGTAACTGCAGAATAAATTGCAGCTTTTGCAAGTAGAATAGTTCCCCAGTTGGAAATAAATTAGCATTACCAAGAGCAATTCAATAAGAGGAATCCTTGTAACCGAAAAGTGGGAGACCAAAAAGGTGAAGTTAGTACACATAGTTTGTGAAATGACTTCAAAAGAATAACTTTCAATAACAAAAAATGTTAAACATTTTTTTTGACTGAAATGTTAATTACTTTTCTTAAAATTACCCCCAATAACTTGAAATATGAAAACCATTAATTGTAAAGTGCATAATACAGAATCAAATTTAAATTTATAGAAAAATTGTGCTAACACAATCGTCCAAAAATATACCCCTGTCAATAGGATTTGTTAAACAAAACATTAATTGGTTGTATCTTAAAAAACACATCTCAAAATAGATATAATTAATACAAACCTTTGCAATTGATTGTTATCTCTTAGAATAATTTATTACACACTTTACTGGGCTTCACATTAACGCGTGGATTTAAAGCTTATCCAATGTGAAATGTCCTCGCAGTGTCCTTATGACGATGATGAGGAGGATGACTTGGACTTGACTGCGGTGACTTGAAGATTGCTCCTGGGTCTCACTTCCACTTAAACTTAGCGCAGAAATCGGCCTCGCAACTGGAAACCCTTTGGGTGGGGGTTTTTGGGGTGTAACTCAGGGGTTCGTGTTAAGTGTGTCATTGAGGCAAGGGATTGGGCTGAGATGAGATGAAAGGACGAGCTGAGTCGAGCTGGGGCATGTCCTTGCCGCCGCATGAACTTTTAATTTACAACTGCGTCTCTCTTTTTTTCTCCTATATTTTTCTCCGTTGATTTAATTTATTATGCAAATGTTTGTGCAAGCGAGACAGCGATTTGCTCTCGGTGGCATTTTTCTCATACCGTCATTATTTAAGGAAAGAGCTACCGAAAAAATATACAAGAAAAATTAAGTTTTGTAAGTCGACTTAAATATAGTCTGCCAAATTATAACAGTTTTGAAGGCTTCCTAAGATAAAAAAGTTACATTGTTATTGTGTCTAGCACTTAAAATGTTTTTTTTATAAACTGATAAAAAGCATTTGATGGCTATAATCATTAAATAGACATTAAGATTTAATTTAATTCACATGCATTTAATACTTATAATTTTAATAATAACAGTAATAGTTCAATCAATAAAACTTAAAGCCTTATTAGTAGGAACTTACAATTAAACCCAGATATATATTAATTTTCTTCTTGAATTCAAGTAATTAATAAAACCAAATAAAAATACCTAAAAAAACTATTAATAAAACTAATTCAAATTACTGAAAAGATTATTAATACTAATATTTTATGTACTTCATTTTGTATCTGACTTTTGTAAATACCCCGCGAAAGAGTATATAAAGCTGCCGGCAAAGTGAGCGCCACAACAAATGACGGCAATGTCAAAATTTTCTCACCTCGATTTTTCATCTCATTTAGAAGCCCTAAGACGGAGACATGTGTGTGCTTACTTGTGTTTGTGTTTGGGTTTATCAGTCACATAATGCCAGCATGCTGACATCATAACTTATAACTTGATAAATAACTATATGTGTTATCCCTCTTATCCCTTTTTTGGGAGCTCCCTTGCAGACAAATGACTTGACTGAAAGCGAGACCCTCAAAGGGGGTGGAAAATGAGGAGGTTGAAATATTTATCCCTCTGTCAGAGTGTGTGTTAACTTTATCCCCATCTTCCTTTGTCTGAAGCTATTTTTTGCAGCTCCTTTTGTTGTCTGCTCTTCAAACACGAGGTTTCATTATTTTTAAGGCCATTTGTTGATTCTTTCCTGTCATCTTTACATCACCTCATATGTATCTGTTGTAATCGTTTAATGTATAATAATAAATATTTAAAAAAAAAATGTTAGGTCTTAGAAAAGTGGTCTAAATTGATAGGAAACCAAAATTAAAAATTTTAGCCCAAATACTCAAAACTTTAGTTTTACTTAAATATATTTAGTATTTAAATAAAAAGTAAATATTTCCTTGTGTTATTTAACTGGCAGAGTTAAATTTTCCTGCGCTCATTGATGCGTGGTGGAAAAGTTCAGGCCCAGACAACGTGACGTATGATCGTTGCCATGATATGTGGCCACAATGAACTCAACCTTGTCCCTCACCCCTCTTTCACCCTTCATAGCGGCACATGCCACGAATGTGAATAAAGTTTGAAAAATATTTTACACATCAGCTTTGGACATGGCCGAGCTGGAAACAGGTTGCACATGTAGTTAAAGCCCTCATGCATCCTTCAACACAAACAAACGACCATCACGTATATTCACTCACCAACACGACTGCTAGAAAACTTTAAAGGCTGGCGTGCATGAGTCTATGTACTACAAGTATAAAAATACAGATATGTTAGGTAGTGCATTATATCAGTTTTGAGTGAATAAGTACTCTTCAATTAAATAGGATAACTTTAAATGAGGCAAAATCATGAGAAAGCTTAAAATAATAAAATAATACAAAAATATAATACTATTTTGTGACTACAATAAAAAATGTTAGATACAATAAGAATATACTTCTTCATTATTTGATTAGAAATAAATATATTTTTTTGAATGTTTCAAAGGAGCTGCGTACTTCAATAAATTTTGTTCAGTAATAATAAAAGATTTCCCAACTTTGTCATTGAAGTATATCCAAACACTGAAATGTGTTAGCCAACCGAGTCTAACCGCAAGTAAAGAGAGAAAATTTATGTACAATACATTCTGGCTAATGTGGAAATAGTCCATTTGAGAACGAGTGAAAGTCTCCTGGCGGAGGTCTAGCAGCTAAGTTTTAATGAGCCCAGGGCCGAGATTTGACCTGGCCAACTTTTAATCCGCCTAATATGAGGCGCTCGAGTGGGAAACACTGCACTACGGAGTTATAAAATATGTAGATATGCATTAAAATGTTTTGCACTACTTTTCGGGCAAAACATTGAGTGTAGTCGGAACTAATGAAATGAGTTAGTTATGCTAGGGGATTGTGCATTTTGCAAGCATTTTTCATAATTGCCCGGTTCAAAGGCAAACACAACAGGAAAGTTTTCCCTTAACCCCAATGGATATTGCGATACTTTCAATAGAGGCAGTGAAATAGGGGGTTGGCTAAATAAACAGTATTAAAAAGTTTCCATTCTCGCTCAGTCACTCGCTCGCCCTCTCAGTGAAATCCACTTAAATGTGTTTTTCCAATTAAAAAACTTTTTCCTGCACTTGAAAATTTTCGAGCATGTGCGAAAATCTTTTATGCGAATTGCATTCGGCAAAAGGCAACAGTCAGAGAAAGAGAGTGGTGGCGAAGAGAAGTCCGCCACAGAAACCTAATGAAAAGTGATTACAAACATGATAGATAAATGCTGACTGGCCACAGTCTCGGTCTACTCGGTGTTCCCCTCCTTTCACTTTACTTTCGAAGGACTTCTTACTCTCCAGTTTCTTGAGTAAAACATCTTTTGGTTTGGTATTTGCCACTAAATGGTCAAATAAACTTTTTGGCACTGCTATCGCTGTAATGAACTTCTTAAGAGCTTTTCCATTCTACTTCGCCCTGCCATTGTCTTTTGCCCCTATCTGGCTTTAAACTTAATGAAAATCCATTAAAAAGTCCCACATTGTTGTGGCATCGCCAGGAATTATCTCACTTTCGAAAGTCCGCCTCTCTATCACTTCTCTGTTTCTCTTTCTCCCAGCACTTCTCTTCGCGTCGTGCACGTGTTCAACGTGACGTATGCGTAATGTGCTTCTGCCTGACTTGAGTTGTACGTTGGCGGTTTTTGCCTTGCAGCGGTCCATTGCCAGCCATTAACCAAAAATAGCAAGCCAAATGGCCAAATGACTGAACAGGTTCAAGGCAAGAGCGAGCGAATCGTAAAAAAATAGATCAAGGAAGCAACAAACGAGATTTACGAGTGGGTGCTAATCTGTAAGGTCGAAACTGCGAGATTCAAAAGCAATATCAAAACACAACCCAAATAAAGCTCTTCGAATTGTAAGTTTTATTATAATTTAAGCTTATACTTGCAAAAATCAACTGTTTACACCTGTCCTTAAGCAATTTCAAACCTAAATTGAATTTACCAGAATTCTACGCTTCGCCAAATTATTTTATGATGACAACATTTTTCTCTCCTACCTAAAGAATCATAAAACAAACAGGAAACTCAAAAGAACTTCAAGTGGATTTATGCCCAAGTGCTTGAAAGGCAATGCCACCATTTTTTTACGCACCATTTCAATATTTTCGAGCCGGCTTCAGAGGCATTCAGTTACACAGCTCCTCATTCCACTCACAAAAACCTTTACCACTGATTCAGGGATCAAAAACAAAGGCTGAGTCATTCACTTTGAAGCTGCTGTAAGCACCCAGAAGTGTCCTTTTTGTTGGCCATTTTACCGGAATCGCTTTTGTCGGGTATGGGACTTAAATCAATGAAACACACATGAAACCAATAAAAAACTTTAAAGACCTAAAAATGTCAGATGCATTTGGTTCTCAGCGTTTGAAATATGAAATTGTTATCCCAATGAGAAGAATATTGGAGAAAGGCAAACAAGCAAGTCGTAAGCTACAATTCATTGAAAAGGGACAGAAAAAGTTGTTCATCTTGCCTTGAATTTAGTCAAGGACTCATTTTTAACTTTTCGGACAGTAAATTGATAAATATTTTATATTTGTGGAGTAAATATTGACCAGATTTCTGTAAAAGGTAAAATCTGATATCTTATAAATCTTACAAAATTTGTATATAACTTTTTCAAGAGCATTTTAAGTTGTTGAAGAACTTCAAGTGGAGTACAAAAGTTTCAAATGAGATTCTTGTTTA